ACACACACACACACACACACACACACACACACACACACACACACACACACACATTTAAAAGCATTAAATTGATCACCAAACACCGTGAATGTGAAAAAAAAAACCTTTGATTAGAAGCAATGTAATGATCGACGTTATAGATGTTTGATTGTTATTGTATGTGCTTCCGTGGGGTGGAAGGGTTTTTACAAACATCATGTTCTCTTTCCTTCTGTTTACGAGTTCCTGATTGCACCATTCGACGAGTGTGCACATGAGGACCAGAGAGAGAGAGAGATAGCAAGAGAGCATGTGCACTGTTCGGGTTGCAGCGTGTTATAGGCCAAACACTGGCCTACATCAGAGATATTGTCAGGTGTACCGTGGGAAATTATTATGATGTAAGCCAGATAGCGTTGCCACAGTGCTTCAGTTAACCCCTGAATGATCGAAAGATACTGCAGATTTATGACCTTGTTAAATCCAACCACTGGGGAACAAACTAGCTTGTCAACAAATAATTTACATTATGATTAGCAGGACAAGTGGTTGTGTTGTAGTATCGCATATTATTACGTAGTATTAATCGCATGTGTTGCATCACATATGAGAAAAAAATGGAGGCCCACGATTCCCAAAAATCAATATCTCGAAGTCGGCACCATTTATCACAAGATATGATGTTCATGACAATGTTAGTTTGAAAAAAAAAAAAAAAAAACACGAGAAACCCATTTAAGAAAACAAAGTGCCACAGGTCGGCATCTCCAAGAAAATGGTTCTTCTCGGGACTCATTCCTGTCAGTCAATGCATAATCCTTCACACCACCTGGGAAGTGGTCCTCATCAGATCTTGTCCTGTGAGGTCGATGCCAAAACTTTACAGCAACAGCTTTGCTTCTCTTATCAGAGGAGAAGTGGCTGTATGTAAAACACACCGAAATACAGATGTCGGGGTCTGAAGCAGGGCAAGAGATGTTGGCTGACCATGTCAGGTGCCCCAGACAACCACCAAAATTTCCATGTACAGTAAACATCCTTGGCCAGGAATCATCCAGCAAAATCTTCCATCCGTTGGCTTGCACTTCTCTCTCAGCCATGTTTTGGAATAGGAAATAAGCAAATGCATCAATTTTAATGTGAAAGAATGATTTTGTTTTTAACTCTTCACATGGAGGGCTCTTCACATGGCTGTGACTTCCCTAACCGCACAAATGTCTGTATGCAGGCAAGAAAGAAGAGATCTGTCCACAGGGCTGGCTACAGTTTAACTTCAGTTGTTACTACATTTCCTCCATGAGGAAGGGTTGGGACGACAGCCGTCAGGACTGTCTGCAAAGAGATGCTGACCTGGTTATCATCAACGGCAGAGAGGAACAGGTATATTTATATGGAAAAGAAAATACATCTCAAAATGTGATTTTATTTTATTTTTTTGTATTTGAATGTTTTTCATTTTTTTGCACGCTACCTGAGGTTATTTTCTCACTACACCCTTTAGTTTTATTGTAGCTGCAACTAGTCCAAGCTCTGCAACATCTTGGTCCTGTTCCAAACACACCAGAGCATGGTTCTCACATGACGTGAAAGCTTGTCAATCCGCTAGAGCCCACATGAGTGCAATCATTTTTTTTAACCTCTGGCTATGTAGCTGGCACACCGTTCGCAAGGACAGGGGTCTTCGAATTGCTTCAAACAAAGAACGCTTGATGACACCGCCGTGAAATTTATTTACTTTGCAAGAATGAAATTGGTTCATTTAGATGCTCTATTCTTAACTTTTGGCCAGTCAAACTACAGTTGGCCTGAATGTGAACAATTCACCACGCTGCGCTGAGACATTTCGCTGAACAACTCTAACAATGGCAAAGGGCAGTTAATGGGACAATCAACAATGCAATCCAATGGCCGAATGGCGACTTGCCATTCTTTAAATGACGTCACTCATCGAACATTGCTGAAAAATGCATTTTCATCGATAAGCGCATTGTGATGGGTCTAACGATGAACGTGGGTGGGTTGCAAAGTTGTGCTTAAAATAGTTTTAGCTTTTCATATTACCGTATTTTCCGCACTATTGGGCGCACCAAAAAGTCTTCCATTTTCTTAAAAGCTCACTGAGCGCCTTAAAATCCGGTGCGTCTTTTGTATGGTCATTAAGGTAACAAGTTGACATCAAGATGGCTCCTTGCTGGAGACATGCTTACAATGTTATAACTTGCTGTTGGTTCAGTGAACTGTGTCGCTGCTTTATTAAATAAGTATGTGTTGCAGCTCCGAAAAAAGGAGAGCTGTGGTGTTAATTTTTTAAAACAGTCTCAACAAATACAGGTACATCATTGTCTATCTCCGTGCTTTCTTCCATTCGAGTCGAGAGTCGTTCAAGACCGCCACCGAAAAAACGTAAACTAACGATTACCTCAATGAAACTACAAAAATTGAAAATAATACATCAAAACTGAAAAGCAAGCGAGGATATAACAAAATAAATTCTATTGCCCCACCCCCTACAGAATTTATATTGTGATTTCAACATTTGTGAATACAAAACAAAGGAATAAATAACTACGACTGACATCTTGTGTTATTTTGACTTCAAGATGGCGCCGCGAGAGTGGCTGCCTTTCCAGCAGCTCCGATTTATTTTGGTCTTCTACTTCTTCCTCTCATAACTTTGCTGCTGTGAAGTGGGAATTTCTCCATCATGAGACTATTAAAGGTTTTCTTATTTTATCTTATGTAATTGTACTCTTGGAGCTACGATAAAGGAAATGTCAATGGGTTTTTCGGAGGCGGTCATGAACGCCTGTCGAGTTGACCGGAAGAAATGAAGGGAAGGAGACACACATGAGTTTGTTGAAAAAATGAGAGCTGTGGTTGTGGTTTTATTATTTTTTTAAACGCAGACTTTATTAATGGTTTTCACAGTCTCAGCAAGTACAGGTACTGTACGTCCTTATCCGTCTCCGTGCTTTCTAACGTTCCACTCGAAAGGTGTCATGGCCGCCTCCAAAAAACGTAAATTAATTCTTACTTCAATGAAACCACGAACAAAATCAAGCGAGGAAATCACAAAATAAATTCTGTAGAGGGGATATAGAATTTATTTTGTGATTTCTTCGATTGATTTTCTGTTTTGATGCATTATTTTCAATTTTCGTAGTTTCATTTAAGTACAGTAATAGTTAATTTACATTTTTCAGAGTCAGTCATGAACGCCTCACAAGTTGAACTGACGCCTCTCGAGTTGAATGGAAGGAGCGACGCACCATCTAGTGGAGGCATTGTAGATTGCGCCTTTTAATGCGAAGCGTCTAATGTATGAAAAAAAATTTACAAAATTGCCATTCATTGAAGGTGCGCCTCATAATCACATAAGCACATATCAACGAACAAAAGTTCGCGCTCACACTCACACCTCAGGACAATTTAGAGTGTTCAATGAGCCTGCCGTGCATGTTTTCGGAATGTGGGAGCAAACCGGAGTACCCGGAGAAAACCCACGCACGTATGGGGTGCGTAAAAATACGGAAACGCCACATCGGAAGACTGGAACCGGAATCGAAGCCTGCACCTTTGCACTGTGAGGTCGACATGCTAACCCGTCCACCACCGTGCCACAATTAATAAGCAGCTGTATTCAGTTGTGGTTTCACGGTATTAAAACGTTATCGATTGCATTTTGTCACTAACTCCCTTTCTAATTAAGACATCTGTCTTTGATCATTGTTCGTTACTTTTAATTCACAAGACAGATGTGTGTCAGTCCAGAACGCATGTGAGGATGGTGACAGGCAGCTGTCTTGTCAAGCTGCTGCAACATCCCCTCCAAATAACTTGACATACACCCGGTATGTGGGTGCTTTTGTGAACTATTACCATAGAAAAAAAGGGTTCTGGGTAAAGGTGCCAGAGGCTATAGCATATCTCATTCAGATTCAGATTCAGATTCAGATTCAGAAAACTTTATTTATCCCCGTGGGGCAATTAGAGTAATTCTAAAAAACTCATTTCACATTGTGGGCCACATACGGCCTCGATAGATGTCAAGTGGGCCGGACCATCAAAATTATACCATACTCTGCTATAAATAACCAAAATACTGTATCATGCCTTTCCTTTGTTTTTGTAGAAAGAATCACAAGACCATTAGGAAAATGTTGAAATTTAATGAACATATCTTTTACAAAACATGTGACAAAATGACTTGACTCTCTGTTTCAATTGTCTGTCTATATCTGCTGATAGGTCCGAAATCCTTTCTGGTATAGTATTCCTAGTCAGGCTAATATTGGCAAAAGCTTGGTGCTTCTTGGGACATACAAGTTCAACCACCTTCATCATGCATCGATTAACAAAGTCACCGTCGGAATACGGCTTTGATGCTAATGCTATTTCGCTAGCAATTTGGTCGCTGGCTTTTACTGCTGTGTCGTCTCAGTGACAGACAGACTGCTGATGTCTTCTTCTCTGATCAAAACAATGCTGTCTTCTACTGTGATCAAAACAGTATTCCCCTAGCGGATGATCCATGAATTGCAGCTCATTAAATATATTCATTCTGTTTCTTTTATGTATTTTTTCACTTTTAA